ATATTTTGGGGCGGGCGGGTCTCCTGGTCACTGCTGGACAATGGTCCAGGGCAGCCATTGTGCCGGGAGTGGAAAATCCTTTTCTGACTCCATCTCCAAGGGCTGAAAATAGTCCAGGGTGAGCCCTTGGGGACTGAGTCTGGGGCCATGAGTGACTGGCCCGGCCCGGCCCATTGTTCTGGCTGGAAGAGGACTGACACTGGACACCTGGCTGAACAAGAGCCAAGACAGAGGCAAGCTCAGGAAGCCTGTATTGGAGGAAGAGCGGCTGGGTGGAGCCAAGCCCCATGGCAGATGGGGAAACTGAGGCCCAGAGAGGCGAAGGGATTCACCAAGGTGAATGAATTCACCAAGGCACATGGTGCACAGGGGAGTGGAGGAGGAGAGCTTGGCTTCTGGGGTTCATCTGCCCTCCACTCTCCACCCCTCACCAGCACATGCTGCTTGGAAAGGCAAACACATCTCTCACCCTGCAGTTCAGGCACTCCTGGCCAGACTCCACCCTCCACCTGCAAGGGGCAGGGCCATCGGACAGCGGACCAGCTCCGCTCCAAGCCCCTGTGGGGTGCCAATGGTGTCGCTTTACCTCTCTGTCGCTTGATGCCAGGGGAGGATCGCTGCCCACTCCAGTCCTCAGAACGGAGAGCCCAGGGGGTTGGGGGAATGCCTGTTAGTTGTGCCTTTGCTGAAGATCGAGGTGGCTGATGTCCTAACTGAGGCAGGGACAACTGGGTCATGGGAGGGAAGGGCTCCAAGCTCCAGAGGGTGGCCCAGAGAGGGCAGGCAGGTAGCCTCCGGTCACACAGCGAAAGTTGCCCATTCAATGCCTGCTCTGGGTCCTGGCAGCCTGGGTCTCCGGGCTCTTGGTTGAACCAAGAAGTAGTGGTAGCACCCCACGATGGGGACCATCAGTTAGGGAGAAATGGCTGTTGCCATGGGCGAGTGGGAGCTCTCTGGTCCACAGGGGCTGGCTCCAAAAGCTCGATACCAAGGGCCTCCCTCCCTCCTCCTCTGCTTCTCCCGGCTGCCCTCTCACAGCCTGGCACAGGGACAAGGTTCTGTAAACACACACAGGCTCATGGGCCGGAAGGCCACCCAGTGCCAAGGGCAGACCTGCTTTCCTCCTCCTCCTCCATCCTAGGGTCACAGGAGGCCCACTGTTGCTCACTGGCTGGACATTCCTTTCCTTCAATAACGTATCCTAGTGCGGTTATATATTACATTATGTCAACTCCATGAGGGCAGGGTCCAGCTGGTTTGCCTCTGTATCACCTTGGCACCGTGCCTGCCATGTAAATGCTTACCAAGTGTTTCGTGCGTATTGATCCAATGCCCTGTGTGGGAGGTGGTACATCCTTTCGGAAATGAGAAAACCAAGGCCCTGCAAGGTTCAGTAACTTGCCCAAAGTGCTACAGCTGCAGGAAGCGGGGATAACTTCCAGACAGAGGTGGTATGGGCCTCGGGTCTGTGCTCCCACCCCCGGCCCCACTATACTGCCCCTTTCATCTTGAATCCCACGGAGGGTTGCTTACACATCCTCCTGCCCAGCAGAGGTTGCAAGTGGCATGGGATGCTGGAAAGGAACTAATTTGGGCATCTGATGGACTCAGATTCGATCCTGACTCACCCCCTGACTGCCTGTATAGCCTGGAGCAAGTCCTCACTTCTCAGAGCCTGTCCCCTCCTCTGCTAAATGGGGATAATAATGTCTATTTCACACAGTTGTGGGGAAGAATAAATAATAGAGACAAGAGGTGCCTGGGGCCTGCGTTAATACCTGAGTACCCTTCCTCATGAGCTTGACTGAACGGAACAGCTCAAGTCTGTCATGACAAGGGTGGTGGCAGAGGGGTAGCTTTGGGGGCCTAACCTCCCTCCGGGGCCCTGGGTCACCTGCCCCCCAGGGCAGAGACCCCCTGTGTGCCAGGGCCTTGTCCTGGATGCAGAGCTCACCAAGACCAGTTCCTCGCCCCGCCCACTGCCCCCCCTCCTCTCCTATGCCCCTGGCCTCAGTGCCACAGCTCCGCCCACCAGCTCCATCCACCGGGGTGGGGAGAGCTGGGGCAGTGAGGGTGATGACAGGAATCCCACAAAGGCATTGACCTGAACTAAAGGGAGCAGAGCAGCAGGGACAGCCTGAGCCCCTGGCACACATCCAGGTGCCACGCTGACCTGCTGAGTGACCTTGGGCAAGGCCCCACCCCTCTCAAGTCTACAGCTGGGCTGGATAATCCCTGGGGTCCCTGTCAGGTGGCTATGCCTTTTCACAGTGGCCTTCAAGAGACAACAGCCCCAGGAAGTGATGTCAGGGTGAGGAGGTGGGGTGGTTGGGAGCGAGCACAGAGGCCCAGTGAGTAAGAGGAGATATTTTGAGAGCAGGCAGGTCCCCCCACGTCACTACTTGGACAATGGTCTGGGGCTGGGAGTGGAAAATCCTGCTCTTACTCGGGCTGAAAATAGCACAAGGCAGGAGGGTCAGGAACCTCACCCGCTAGGTGGATGGTTTCGGCCCTGAGCAGCAAGTCCAGACATCCACACTGAGGGGTCAGGCAGTCTGACTGAGGCCCAGGGGTGGAACCCCGGGCCTGTCCCTGGTTCCCTTAGAGTCTCTCTTCCCTACCCCCATCAGTGTCTGCTACTGGATTAGATGGTGAGTAGGGCTCTCCTTTTCCCTAGGTCCTTTGTCCTTAGACATGTGCAGGCAGCTGGTTCAAGAAAGGCTTCCTGGGGCTCGGCCATAGTGTTGGCTCCATGTGCTGTAGGGCCCTGGGTTCTCAGGGTCTCCAGGACAACTGCTTGAGGAGTAGGTAGGCAGGACATGAAAGAAATGGGGACTAAGGGTACTTGGGCATTTGGTGGCCACAGCCCTGCCCCCAACCACAAATGCACACTCAGGAGTCCCCAAAATCACAATGTATAACCTCCTGCCTCTGGGTCTAAGCAGGGCTGAGGGAATCATAGCCCAGCATTTACACTCTTGGGTGTAATCTTACCTGGGTATGGGGTTCCTATAAACTAGGATGGGGTTCAGCCTGAGCAGCAGCTGGTAGGAAAGAGATAGGCTTGGGCCTGCAGGAAAGGCTCAAGGACAGTCTGCAAAAGATAGTCACAAAAAAGCTCACAGGGACTCTGGTTACATTAACAGAAGTATAGGACCTAGAATATGGGAGGTGAGCATTTCACACTACTTTGAGCAGGTCACCCACATTGCAATGCAGAGTAATTTTCCTGGGTCATGGCTTGTGATGGGTCCCTGTTGCATGAGGGAGCTGAAGAGCTAGACTCTAAATAGAGAACCCTTGGGGGATGCCCCATTCTGACAAAGTAGAATGGGAAGGGTGAAGAAGTCATAAGAGGCAGGCAGAATTTGGGTGGGAAAAGAATCTTCTCTCAGGCAAAGTGGGCTGATAGGGCAAGGGGTCTCCCAGAGGGAGAGGGAGTGAGTCTTTACATCTGAGATTAAGAGTGAAGCCTGTCAGCTTTGCCCTACCCCTGCCCTAAGGATGAGCTGGGCCCTGTTCAGCTGAGCTCTACAAATCTCCGCAGTGATCCTGGCTGGACCCAGAATCTGTCACAGGTGAGAAAGATCTCCCTCACCTGAAGCCCTGACCCAAGCTGAGCACCAACTATAATGCCATAGAGCTGGATTTTCCCAAGAGGCAGAGGATGGGACAGGAAGAGAAGTGAATCTCTCCCATACTTAGCCCCTGCGCAAAGGAAACCTCAGGTAAAGGCGAGGAGGGAGCCCTGTCTTGGTACCCTTGTGCCCCACCCCCCAGCCTCATTCCTGCTGTGAGCCTGGGTGCCGGCTGCCCGGCCTGCCTCCAGTTCCTGCTTAGCCCGATTTCCTGTCCCCATGTCTTTGCCCAGGATGCACCCTGCACCTGGATGTTCTTCTCTGATGAACTGCTTTCCTCAGAAGCTACAGCTCAGGAGCGTCCCCCGCTCCAGGAAGCCTCCCTGACCCCCTGGTCCACAGCCCCAACCACTCAGCATTTTCCATGGTGTGCTGGAGCATCTGGGACCCGCTTGCTCCAAAATTTTCAGGAATTTTGCAAGGAGGCTGACATCACATTAGTAGTCTGAAATTGGCCAAGGCAGGCGTATTTGCACCATGGCAGTTGGCAAGGCTACAAATAAGGGGTTCCCCTCACCCCCTGGAGAGCCAGTTAGATGGTTTAACATTTACCAACACGACTGGTCATCGCCATTAAGCCCTCAACTGGGGGATCCCAAGGACAGGACCCCATCTCTCTCCTGTTTGCTGAGGCGGCTAGTGGGAAGGCAGGTGGCATAAGAGTACAGGTTGGAGAAAGGACCCCAGTGTGGATGGTGAGAGCTTCTTAGGCTGTATCTTCATCCTCAAGCCATGCCATAGGGCACAGCGCAGCAGGCAACAGCTTTAGTAGAACTTACAGCCTCCAACTGGCTCCCAGCCCCAGGGGAGCCTCCAGATGGGTTTATGACATCGGTTCCCTGACGTTACGTTCATCTCTCAGGATGGGGCTCCTCCTCAGAGGTGTGTCCACTGGGGCATCCAGACCTGCCCTAGACCCCTCTCCTGTAGGAAGCTCTGGCTCAGCCCTGACCCCTTACCAGGGTCCTTCGGTCAGCCTGTAACCCTGCCCCTCCTAGGTGGCTCAGGCCCAGACTGTGACCTTGGTAAGTCACTTTCCCCTCTGGGCCTGTTTCTCCATTTGACTTGATCAGGCTGGATACCCTGGCAGGCACAGCCAGCTATTTACGTGGGAGTCAGGCCAGGGGCAGCATTGGCCCCTTACCCTTGCCTTTCTTGAAGCCTTATTCCCCAGCTCACACATACAAATTGTGACTGGCGTCATAGGGACTGTTGAGATCTCTGGACCACAGAGAACATGCTGAGCCCCTGCCAAATGACAGAGCATTGACGTCATGGCTCCCTTGACCATCAGGCATGAGTCACGAATGGGCCCTATCTAGGGAGACCATCCCATCTGAAGAAGTCCTAGTTCCTACAGCACCCCCTTCCCATATAAACTTGCACAGGCCTGAGGGGTTCAGGTCCTACAGCCGCATGTCCTTAGTGTGGACATCAGCCGGTGTGGACTCTGTCCGCCTAGAGTCCTCACTGCTGGTCGATACATCTTTTGTCCTCTTGATGTCAGTCCTGTCCGACCTGCGCAGGCCCTCTCTGCGGCGAACCTGGGCAATAGGAGAGGGATCTGAGGGTGGCTTGGCATCTCGGGCAAAGCGCACAAGCCTCTGCCCCGCCAGGAAGTAGAGCACGGGGTCAAGGCAACTGTTGGCACTGGCCAGTGGCCGGGTGATCTTGTAAGCCATGTTGATGGCGTTGAGGGTGTGGCAGCTGAGGTCCAGCGAGCGGAAGGAGTAGTAGAGGGTGCGGGTGACGTGGAAAGGCAGGAAGCAGAGCGCGAAGACGGCCAGCACCACGGCAATGGTGCGCACCGACTTGCGCTTGGCCCGCGGCAGGCCTCCCGACGTCCCGTAGGCCGGCTTGAGCAGCCGCCGGGCCATAAGCACGTAGCACACCAGGATGATGGCGAAGGGCACGGCAAAGAGCAGGCCCAGCATGACGGAGCTGTAGGCCACGAACTGGCCGAAGAGCTCGGGCGCGGAGGTGTCGTGGCAGGTGATGCGGCCGCCCCGCACGCTGGTGGTGACGAAGTAGAGCATGGGGGACTGGCAGGCCAGCACCAGCACCCACACGGCGGCCGCCACGCGGCGGGCGTAGTGCGCGCGGCCCCAGCGCAGCGAGCGCAGCGGGCGCAGGACCCCCAGGCACCGGTGCACGCTGATGCACGTGAGGAAGAGGATGCTGCAGTAGAGGTTGGTGTAGAAGAGGAAGCGCACCAGCTTGCACAGCACCACGCTGAAGGGCCAGTGGTCGCCGCGGGCGTAGTAGTAGACCAGCAGCGGCAGGGACGCGGCGTACAGCGCGTCGCACACGGCCAGGTGGAACATGTACGTGGTGGACGCGTTCCAGGTCTTGAGGTGGCACAGGAAGACGTAGAGCGCGGCGGCGTTCAGACACAGCCCCAGCACACACACCACGCCGTAGGACACCGGCAGCAGCACGTACTTGAAGTCCTCATTGAAACGGCACTTGTAGCCCAGCTCGTCCCCTTCCCAGGAATCATTGACCGTGCCGTTCCAGCGGCCCAGGCCTGTGGCCATCGCCCTGAAGGGGGGGGGGGCGGGGAAGAGCGGTCAGGGTCATGACCCGGGCTCAGGGGGGGAGAGGCCTGACAGCCACCCGACCGGGGCCATGAGGGGCCCCACGCACCCACAGATCCCCTTGGTTCAGATCTGCCCAACCACGTTCAAGGCCTTTGTAGCCATCCGACCTGGCTCTCTCCCTGGACTGAGAAGGCCCAGAACCGTGAAACCCTAGAGCTTCCAGAAGGCCTGAGATCCATGAATATCAGGGCCACGTACCTCTAAAACTTCAGAACAGGGGTAGGCAAACTACATCCTGAGGGCCAGATGCAGCCCACCAGTCTATTTCTGTAAAACAAAAAACAAAACAAAACACCTTGTTTGGAACATAATCATACCCATCTATTTATGGAGAGTTGAACGGTTGTGACAGAGACTATATGTTCCCCAAAGCCTAAAATAGTTACCATCTGGCCTTAAAAAAAAAAAATTTTTTTTTGGCGACACTGCTCTAGAACCTCAGGAGCACAGAATTCTAGATCGAGGATCCTGAGCTCTAGAATCTGAGGAGCTGGGGGTCCCAGAGCAGCGTCATCTCAGATTCACAGAAAGGGGCCTTTAAGGATGACTGGATCCACCTCACACGGAGTGCCCACTGCCTGCTGAGGCATTTCTGGCCACGGGGCAGCCCCTACCTTCCGGGAGGGATTAGAAAGTTCTTTCCTTTAGGGGCGCCTGGGTGACTCAGTCAGGAAATGTCTGACTCCTGATTTCTGGTCATGATCTCAGGGTTGTAAGATTGAGCCCCCTCGCTGGGTTCTGTGCTGGGCATGGAGCCTGCTTGCGATTCTCTCTCTCCCTCGCCCTCTGTCCCCCAACCCTCTCTCTCCCTCTTTTAAAAGAAAAAAAAAAAGTTCTTTCCTTTAGCTCATCTTTCCACTCTCTGGAGAGGCTCTGGCCCCATGCCTGGTATTTTGGCATCTGAGGGAGTATTTCTAAGGGTCTCCCCCGTTAGTCATTCATTCACCTCTTGGCAAATAGTTTTTAGGGACTCCTATATTCTGGCACTTAACTGCATTTGTAAATGGCAGTCTATTCCCTGGCCTATGAGGCTACCAGATGGGTCAGTGACCCTCCTGAAGATTCCAGGGAAGTCTGGGACAGAGATGGGGATGGGAGCAGAGGGGGACTTCTTTTGTGGGGCAAATTAAGCTTGTCCCAGGCCTACCTAGTTTCTCTTCACACACCACCACTATCTTGAAGATCTTTTACCTCGTCCCCAGCGGGTATATAACATACTCAGGGGGCCTGACCGCCCAGAGAGGGAGCACCCGGAGGCTGTCCACCTTCCTCCTCTCCGTATCCCCAGTGGGACTGGTAAGAGCTCTCTCTCAGCTGCGAGGCAGGGGACAGAAATCCCAGTCTGGAGGGCAAAGATGTGCCCAAAGGTCCCAGGGGCAGGTTGGAAGTCATAGCAGGTAGGCAGATTTGGGACAAACACGAAGAATAACTTTCTAACAGTGGGAAGGGGCAAAGGGAGCTGATATTTTTCTTTTTTTTTTTTTTAAGATTTTATTTATTTGACAGAGAGAGAGAGAGAGAGAGAGCACAAGTAGGAGGAATGGCAGGGAGAGGGAGAAAGAGGACCCTGGGATCATGACCTGAGCCAAAAGCAGACGCTCAATTGACTGAGCCACCCAGGCGCCCCATAAGGGAGCTCATATTTTTCAAACCCTACTACTAGGTATGCTGTATAAATGTTATTTCATTCCATTTTTACAACATGCTTCTGGAAACCAGGTTATCGTGCCCAGTTTTCCACTAAAGAGTCTAAGACACAGATCATTCAAATAATTTGGCCAAGGTCACATAGCTAGGGGTGTCTGCAATTCCTATCCAGGTCCACCCCACAATGGAAGGGGCTATAGGAAGGAGGTGTAGTGACCTCCCTGCTTGGGGGGTATGCAAGCGGCTCTTCTAGCAGAGTCTGCGGAAAGGTTTGTGTCCTGTGTGTGGGTGTGTCTGGGAGGCCCGAGAGGGCAGATGACACGTGAGTCCTCCCTATCCTAGGAATCTAGGACTTGTACACAATTTTGGAACCTGAGGTCCTGAGAGGCTGGGACTTGCGGATTCTGTAGGGCCGGTAACATCCACTCTCTTAGACCATGAGCTTCCTGCCCAGCCTGGAAGCAATAGTTCAGGGCCCCTGAGGTTGAGATTAGGGGGCTGAAAGACACATAGGTCCCTCAGTTTCCCTTCTCTCCCCATCCCCCATCCCCCCGACCCCAGAATCTTCTCTGTCTCCTGTTGTCAGCAAAGGTGCAACCGGGAAGAAGGGAGCGTGCACCTCCTTCCCACAGATGCAGGTTCCTCCTCAAGGAGGCAGGGCTGATCCAGGGTGAGGAGGCAGGGAGATTCTGTGGTGCCAAGCTGAGAGGGGGCAGCTCCCCCCTGCCAGGGGGATCTCTGGCCAGGGCTGGCCTACTGGGACCCCTCTTGCCCAGAGCCAGGCCTCAGGACCCGGCATTAAAGCATTTCCTGTACCCAACCCCTACTCCATGCAGTTCAGTGCTGCCTCCACCCCCCCTGCCTCTAGCCTCAGTTCCCCCCAATCCAGAGGGGTCTTTGTAAAGACAAAGTCATTCCTTTGCTTGAAACCCTCTGTGGCTCCTGCCTATTCTCGGGCAAAAACCCTGCTCCTCCTCGGTCTGGCACTGGAGGTTTCCCTAACCCAGCCGCCGTCGGCCGCACCAGCCCCATTCTCTGGGACCTGTGGCTTCCTGCACGCACCGAACACACACTCCCAGCAATGGTTCATGGAGCTCCTTCAACCTGGACTCCATTCACACCCCTCACCTCCACTTGCTGCAGTGACAACTTTTTATCCTTCAGCACAGCAAACTCCAGTGGTTAAGAACCTGGCCTCTGGAGCCAGACCACCTTTGTTGCCTTCATCTGTAAAATGTGGCCATTAACCCACATCATACAACTGCTGTAAGGATTGAGTCACTTGATTTGTGTAAAATGTTTGGAGTAGCGCCTGGCACACAGTACGTACACTGTGGTGGTATGAGCTACAAGGCTCAGCCCAGAAATGGCCTTCTCCTGAAATCTTCAGGAAGCTCTCTCAGGTCACCAATGGGGGAGGCTGTACAGCAGGGGAGAGTGGCGGGCCGAGGGAGTGACACTAAGGCCCAAGCTGGGGCCAGGCCTGGGGACCCTGAGAGGGGAGAGATCTGGAAGGGTTAGGGACAGAGGCCAGAGAGACTGGCCCAGAGGGAGTTTGGGTAGGGGAGGGGCAGGCGAGGGAGGCTGGCCGGATGCCTGGAGGAGGAGCAGGTGTAGGGAGAGGGGCACTCGTTATCAGACGTGACAGTGCCTAGGCCTGGCAGGTCTCTCCTCAGGGTCAGGGCCCTCTCTCCCCACCCCGCCGCTGCCCCTGCCCACTCCAAGCCATAGTCAGTGTCTCCACACAAAGATTTTCTTGCTAATCACTAAGGGTGGAATCTCTGATTCTAGTGAGCAGGGTGGAGACTTCCCCAAGTCTCTCACGAACCGAGGAAGCTGTCCTTTCCACCTGTTTCAAGACATCCTGGCCTCTACCCTCTCAGGCCAGCTGGGGACTCCATTGCCTTGGCCCCCGTCCAGAATGACCCTGCCTGCCCTCTCCCTCCACTGGCTGGTCCACCAACCTGTGAGTACATCTTCCCTGCCACCCCCAACCCCTGCTTATGAAGACAGTGAAATCCCCAGCCCTCTCCCTTGGCCCTCCGCTCTGCCTCTCCTCACCCCCAATGCCCTCGGGGTCTCACCCCTAGCTCCCTAGAGACCAGCTTCCACCTAACTTTGTCCAACACCACTTGCCAGCCCCTCTGTGCCCAGTTCTGGCTGGCCCTGCCTTGTAAGTGCCCTGCCAGGCTTCCCTGCCTTTGCTCACGCTGTTCTTTCTGCCTGGAAAGCCCTTCCAGAACCCACTCACACTGTACCTCATCTTGCCCACCCCTCCAGGCTCTTCTCAAATGTCACCCTATCTCTGAAACTCTCCCCCTCCATGACCCCCGATATTCCTCACACCCTGTTGGGAATCTGTCCTTCCACCCTCTAACCCAACACATTGCAGGTGCTCCCAGAGGGCTGGGTCCATCTGATTCTTTTCTCTGTCCCAATCATCCAGCAAGAGGCCTGATGCAGAGCAGGTATGACATGAATGAGAGAATGAATGAACGAAGCAAGCACAAGAAGATATAGGAGTCCAGAGGAGGCTGAGCTTTATGACAGTGGCCCTCCTTTCCCTTATTCCTCTCAGGGCCTCCCAGAATTGTCCTGACAAAGATTTCTCAGCTGCTGACCCTAGGTGGCCTCCTGGGAACACTCCTGGGGACCAACTCACCTGAGGCCTGCTCCTGGCTCCTGCCCTTGACAGGCACCTGCAGTGCCTCTCTTTCAAGAGCCCTGCCCTTCTCTGGCCAGGCCAGGGAAATGCCAGGGGGAGGGGAACTGGACCTAGGCATTCTGGAGGTGGGTCAGCTGTCTGAGCCAAGCACATTCTTTTATCTCGCTCATCCCTGGCTCAGGGCATCCCTGGGTCGGTCTGGATCAGGAGTTCCTGGTCCTGGTGCCCCCTACCCGCAACCCCTCACTTTGTAGGGGCCAAGCCTGGGCTGAACAGCTTCCACGCAGCAGCTTCATTTCACCCCTCCCCACCCCCCCTCCTCAGTAGATGCTGCCATAGAGGTTAAGCTATTTGTTCAAGGTCACACTGCTAGGAATTGGAGAACATGGGCTTGATACCAGGGCTCTCTGGCTCTGAAACCTGAATTCATCACAGCCTGGGATGAAGGAGCAGGGTGGGGATGCCCTCTACTGAACCCCGGTTCAGGATATACACGTGCAGAGTGAGCCCGCCCTCGCACACCCACACCTGGTCAGCCCCTGCTCTCAGTCAGGATGCTCAGCGCCTGCTCGGGTCCCTCACTCATGAATGAGCAGGCCTGGAGACCAGGATGCAGGGAATCCTTCAGGAAATAGGAAAAACAGGTCCCCTGGCCTGGGACTGCACCCAGCTTCTAGCATTTCTCAGGGCAGGCCGCGCTGTGGGCTCTGTGGGCTCTGTGGGAAGTGGAGACAGTGTGCACTCCTGGGCTCCTGGTGGCAGAAGTCAGCCAGGCAGAGCCCTCCCAGGCCTGCTTCCAGTGCGCGCTTGTCCCAGTAGGAGTGCCCTCTGCCCACGCACACTCCCTAGCTGTCCACCCTCGGCTCACGTGGTCCAGGGATGGTTGTTCCCAGTCCCCCTCCCCGGGCAGCCCCTTTCACAGGAGTGTGGCTCTGCTGAGGAAGGTCTTCCCCACATCCTGCGGAGCTGAGCTGCGTCTCCAATGCCCCCTCCCTCCGTCCTGGTCTGTGCTTCAGTCCCTACAGTAGCAGTCAACACCCTCCTTGCCTGGTATACACTCGACAGTACTTACGCCAATGGTTTTGCTCAAGCTATGCCTCTATCTGGAATCCTCCTTCTCCCTGTCCCACCTCTAATCATTCCCCCCATAGGTATTATAAACACACAGGAACACACACAGGCATGGACGTACCCAGATACCCAGAGACATACACAGTCACATTCAGATGTATACACAGCTCGCGCACGCACGCACACACACACACCGTCCCAGACAGGGCCTAGAACAGCCTTTAGAAATCACGTGCACCAAACTCCCATTTGACAGAGGAGGAAACTGAGGCCCTGTCACAAGATGTCACCACAGGCCAGGGACAGAGCCAAGACTGGAACGAAGGCCTCCTGGATTCTGGCCCCGGCTCTTGTCTTGTCTGCGAGGCCCTCACACACACCAGGCACAAGGTTTCACTGAGGGGGTGGTTACCCGGTGGAGGGACCCCTCTGGATGTGCAAGTCCCAGCGCCCACTAGAACCTCAGACTCATCAGAGGAGAAAAAGGACATCCCCTTCCTTTTTCCATCTGCTTCATTTCCCTACAACAGGGGAGTGGGTCCGAGACAGCTAAAGCCAGGTCCCTGGGCTGGAAGCAAAGTGCAAGCATGGGGGGAGTGAGGAGAGAGGAGGAGACAGCTGGCTGCGGGAAGGGGTAGGAGGTGTGGCGTGGGGAAAAGCCCCCGGGCCACTGCTCTCCTGGTGCACCTTGTCCCTGGAGCCTCAGGCTGGGTCGGGGCAGCCAGCCGGTAGCCATTTGCCAACCTGCTGAAGAGTCCGGTGACCAAGGAAAGGGCTTCACCTTTCATCCTACTCCACCCCATCTTCGTCTCCTTAGGAGATGCCTTCACTTAACAGACGAAGGTGGAGCAGAGCACTTTCTCAAGGCCATTCCTCCCATTTCTGAGAAGGATCTCTACTATCCATCCTTCCACACTATAAAACTCTAATATATCCTTGACACTGCAGCTCTTTCCCAACCGCGTGTAACCCACCGGTCACTCACCGAGCCTTATCAGTTCAACCAGTGCAATGGCCCCAGCCCATGGCCTCAGGCTTGTGTTTCTTCTCCAGACCACTGCACCAGCCGACTCACTTGTCTCCTCGCCCCCACCCCAGCCCTACAGTCCATCTTTCATACTGCAGTCATGGGCCTTCCTGAAACACAAATCTGACCATCTGCTGTTGAGCTCAAAGCCCTTCCACGGCTCCCTATTGCCGTCAGGCTAATGTCCAAGCTCCTGAGCCTGGCATTCAAGGCCCTGGCTGGCCCAACCCCTGCCACCCTGCTAGACAACTCTCTCTCTCTGCCTTCGCCTCATCTCATCTCAAGCACAGCAAGAGCAACCCCATGGGATAGCAACCCCTATCTTTGCTCAGGGATGCCCTCCCTTATCTTCCAACATATATATCATAACAAGAGTGGAATGCTTTCTCTGTACCAGGTCCGTATTAGGTAGACCTCTTCTCATTTACTCCTGAGAAGCTCAGAGAGGCTAACTAATATCTCCAGGGTCACAAAGCTAGCAAAATGCAGTCTTTTTTTTTTTTAAAGATTTTATTTATTTATTTGAGAGAGAGAGAGAATGAGAGATAGAAAGCACGAGAGGGAAGAGGGTCAGAGGGAGAAGCAGACTCCCTGCTGAGCAGGAAGCCCGATGTGGGACTCGATCCCGGGACTCCAGGATCATGACCTGAGCCGAAGGCAGTCGCTTAACCAACTGAGCCACCCAGGCGCCCCGCAAAATGCAGTCTTGATCTGACTTCAGGAGCTGTGCCCCTGATCACTACCTCTTACTCTCCACAGCCCAGATCCTCTGCTCCAGGAAGCTCCCCGACCAGCCCTCTTTGAGCCCCATGGCTCTGCCTGTCTGGTCAGTTCTCTGCCAGAGGGAACACCCTAGTGTTCTAGGGCTCTAGGTGCTAGAATCTACTCTTCCTGGTATTTCCTCAGAGTGAAGCAGCCCTGATGGTTATTGTACCCATTTCACAAATCAAAACAACAACAACAACAAACTAAGGCCGGAAAGGGTCGCCCAAGATCTCATCCAAGGTCACCAGTGAGTGAGGGGCAGACCACCTGCCCTCTCTACCTGGTTCCACCTCCAGCTTTCTCCTTGTAGCCCCAGGCTAGTTAACTCAAAGCCACGAGGAGTGTCTGAGGCAGTTTCCAGTCTGGCTGCAGAATTTCCAGGGCGGTTGGACAACATTCCAGCTTCTCCACTAGGGCAGCTCCAGAATGAATGCACTGCCCACTCCCCCGCCTACCTGGCTGGCCCTGTCCAGCCTGGCAGGGCAGTGTGACATCACCACTCTGGAAACCCCTGCAACCTGCCTCTGCTGGGGGTGAGGTGCTATGAGGGGAAACAGAGGACCTGGACCCAGAACACCACTGAGGGGCAGGAGAGGACAGGTGGGAAATCCCAGTGCTGCCATTCCCAGCTGCGGTACCTGGACAAGTCTCAGCTCCATGACCGGAGTCCCAATTTCCTTACAATCTAAGAAGAGCACCCACTGCCTAAGGTTGTTGAGACAGTTAAAGGAGATGATTTAGACTCACTCTATGAAATAATTTAAAAAGATATGATTTCAGCAGGTGGGGAAGGCAGGGAGGATGGGAACATCCCAGGAAGACAAGACAGGCAGGAAACCCACAAAAATCATGGGCAGAAACATTACTGAAGTAAAAAAAAATCATGGGCAGAGTAGCAAGGTCACAGCCAGACTGGCTATAGATCAAGTTTCCCACCCTGAAGGCCATCCTCAGAAGGGAGGGCAGTCCAGGGACCCCGTGCAGGAACGAGACCCCACTATACTCCTTAATTCACTCACCCTTTACAAAGGTTGCCATTTCTATGCCTGTCCCCATGCAGGGCACTTGGGGACTCCAAGGTGGGTTGGACCCTTCTGTGATCTCAAGGAGCTCACTGTCAAGGTGGAAAGTACAGGGGAGGATGGGGGAAGGCCCAGAAACAGGCGATGACAACTCAGGGTGATCAGGGCTGAAGGAAGCAGAGGCACCAGGGTTGAAGCAGCCAAGAGGGTCCCTTATGGGAATTGGGGGCGGGGTGGTCAGGGAAGGCTTCCTGGAGGAGAGGACACCTGACCTGCATTTTGGAAGATGGAGAGGAGTCAGGTGAGTGGAAAGAGAAGAGAAGCAGAGTGAGCAGAAACCAGAGCAAGAGATCACATAGTATGTCTCGGGAACAGACAGTCATCCCTGTGGCTCGAGGGAAGCAGAGAAGGCAAGGCTGGCTAGGAGGACACGAAGGATCTCGGAAGTTATTCTCCACGCCCCCCCAAATATACCCCACAGGGCTGAAGGCCAATAGTCTCCCCACTTTGCTTGGTGTGCTTTCTGCACCACAAGCACTGGGGCTGGTCTGGGGAAACAGCTGAGGGGTAACCTCAGATGTCATCAGCAGGTGCCGTTGTGTGAAGACTTTGCAGCCTCCCCCAGGAGACCCTTGGGTTTGGCAGCCCCTTTTGGAGGTCTCTCTCCTTCTTGGAAGCCCCTAGAATCCTGGCTGTGGGGGCCACGCACTGGGAGAACATCTGCGTATAGGTCTCAGATAAACCAGGCTGGCCTCCCACTTTACGGGTCAGGAGACTGAGACCCTTTAAAAGAAAGGGCCTTACTCAAGGTCTGGTGTTCTAATTATATTTAGTGTGGGGTTGGGCACCCTCACCCCCAGCCCTGAGCAGGACTGCAAACTACCTGTCCTTCCTCAACCCAGCACGGCCCAGCCCAGCCCAGTGCTCTAGAGACACACTGCTAACCTGAACCAGTTCAGAACCAGAGTGCCCTGGACTCCACCCTGACCTGTCACATCCAAATGCCTCTAGCCAGGCTCAAGAAAAAGAACCCTGAGTTCAGGCTCCAACTTAGAACCACACATGCTGTGCAATCTTGGTCAAGTCAGTTCCCCTCTCTGAGCCTCGAGTTCTTCACTGATCAAATGGGGAGAATCACCACTCTATCAGACAGCTCCTAGGGAATGAGTAAGACAAGGGGGCAGGTGGTGCTCCATGCAGCTAGCAAATCATGCTCCTGTCCTGATGTGGGGGCTGCATCTCCCTGTCCTAGCAAAGAGACACGGGAACCCTTTTCACCAGGGGGCCCTCCTGGGTAACCAGGAGGGGGGCAGAAGTCACGGTCAGAGTAGGCAAGGAAGGCTCTTGGAAGGGGCCGTGGTCAGGTCTGGAGAGAAATAGGAAGGGTCCAGCTTGGAAGGAAAAGGAGAATTGGGAAAGCCAAGGTAGAAAAAAAGTACAAAAGTATAGAACAGGATACAAGTAAGTCTGTGATTCTGAGACTGTCTCACTCTGGGTGCTTCCAGAATTCTGAGTTCATTGGTTCTTTTTTTTTTTTTTTAAAGATTTTATTTATTTATTCTGAAAGACAGAGAGAGAGAGAGAGGGAGGGAGGGAGGGAGGGAGAAGCAGGCTCCCAAGGAGCAGGGAGCCCGATGCGGGACTCGATCCCAGGACCCCGGGATCATGACCTGAGCCAAAGGCAGACGCCTAACCATCTGAGCCACCCAGGCGCCCTGAGTTCATTGGTTCTGACAGTCCAATTCCAAGAGTGTCTGGCTCTAAGTGTTTCTTCAGGTCTGTTACTCACTGCTTCTGATAGCCTTTGGTTTTGAGA